TTTTTTATATAAATTAATTATAAAATAATTGATATTTTTTTAACATTATGATGTATTCTTTAAGATATAATTTAGAAAAAAAAAATTCTGTTCCACTGTTTTGCAACCGGGGTTGCGGTGAATAAAATATATATATATGAATGAGAATAGTAACCACCAATTTTATCTCTTAAAAATTATAAAAATGTTTCAATAAATATCTATTAAAAAAATTAAAATATTTTATTTTTAAAGTCCGTATTAAGATTTTTTTTTTTCTTAACTTTTTAAAAATAAAGCAAGAAACACTAACGCCTACGTGTGTGTGTGTGTATATATATATATATATATATATATAAATTCAGGCTGTTGTCAAGCCTCCGCAGGTGTTATGGAGAAACCAAAGACGAGGTGGTGTTTGCCTAACGTCTATCTAAACGACACATTGCTTGGTTAGGGTTAGGATTCGGCTTCTCCTTCTCTTCCATATCATTTCTCGGCATTATCTCCATCGCTCTTATTCAGTAGGAAGAGTTCATCTCTTGTTTCTGGTGAATATGTGATCGAATGTGTATATATAACTTGATTTCATTTTTTATTGTCATTTCTGTTTTTTCAATCTTTTCTGCATTCATGTTTACGGGAATATTGAGATATTTGACCGATTTGATCCTAGACCCTTGAGGAAGCTAGAATTATCTGTGGATTTAGGTGTTTTTATTTGTTTTATTTTTAATTTTTTTTATTCAACCCTCTCTGCTCAATGTGCAGTTAGAATTCCGTTTATATTACGGAAATTTGGTAATTCGATCTTATACCGGACGGGAGTTAACTGGGTTGGCGCTAAATTTCATGTCTGAAGTTTCACATTCACTGGTTGTTTCTTGGTCTGTTTGTAGGGTGATAGCCATTGAATATTCCTTGATGAAGTAATGAACATGGTTATGAATTTCGGAAAATTTTTTGATAATTTGTTCAGTGATTTTTAGTATCTTAATTTTTTGTAGTTATTTCCTGTAATTTGATTTTAAAATATTCATGACGTGAGAATGGCGGGTGGAGAAAGTTCAGAAGATGGCGGTGCACATGCAGAGCCTCCTGATCCTGATATTCTTGAGGTTGATCCAACTTCTCGATACATAAGGGTAACATTATTACTTCATTAGCTTCTTTCAATTTTTTTAAAATCTTTTATTAGCTTCTGTTTTGTTGATAATAAATAGGGGGAAATGGGTGGAGGATGGAGTTTCCAATTGCTTGGGAGTTGCTATATCAATAATTGTTTTCCCTTCACTGCTTCTTTCCCATGCTTAACTTGGATGCCAAAGTACACGGTGGTAGGGGCAGACACTAGAGACCAGGTGATGGGTTCTTGAGAGGGTTGCTAAACTATCTTCTTTTGTTGTTGCCTATTTTTAAAAACAATCGATAATTAATAGAAACAGGGATTTTTAGCTGGTTTACTAAGATAAAACCCTGGCTTCCTTCAAACAAAGTTAAGCTAGAATGAAACTGACAACTGAAAAATATTTTTTGCTGCTGCAACCAATTTATACAAGAGATTCCTACAGCTTTCCATAGAAATAACAACCAATAAAGTGAACCATACTGCCAAGTAATTGGGCTAAGTTAAATATTGGATCCAATATGATTGGCACCAAGGAGGCACACATGGTCTTTGCACAATCCCCTGGGGGTTTCTCCAATTTGTTAGATTTTCTATCCAAAAGAGAAGATGAGGTGAAATTCAATCACTTCGTTAAGTTGTATAGTTTACACTCAGCTCAGTTATTATTATTATTATTATTTTGAATTTTGTGGTCGGGATATGAGTTTTCCTTTTTTCCAGTTGTTTCCTCTTTCCTCATTCTCTTATGAACCAAAACTCTTGTTTGCTTAAATCCTATCACTTGTTAACTCATTTGTGTTGTAACAGTACAAAGAAGTGCTTGGGAAAGGTGCTTTCAAGACAGTGTATCCATCATCTTCATTTTTATTTCCTTTCTTTTCATTGTTAATGAATATATTAGCATTCAATGCTTGTACTGTCATGTCCTCAACATCTTTTGCTTCATTTACTGAATTGCACTCTTTATATGAGCAATCCAGTTGGTCCTGTGTGACCAACTGGTTGATATTTCAACAGTAAACATGGAAATAAGCCTATTTTTGCTTTATATTCATCTAATTCTCTGCACGATTTGTTATCCTTAATTTTGTAACTACCTAGTTACAGGGCATTTGATGAAGTTAAAGGTATTGAAGTAGCATGGAACCAAGTTCGGATTGATGAGGTGTTACAGAAGCCAGAAGACTTGGAGAGACTCTACTCTGAAGTGCGTCTGTTGAAATCATTGAAGCATAGTAATATTATAAGCTTTTACAATTCATGGATTGATGATAAGAACAAGACTGTCAATATAATAACCGAGTTGTTTTCCTCAGGAAGCCTGAGACAGTATGTTTCTTTTCCTTCTTCAATGTATGTTAAACTTTCCTTATTATTTTACAGTGAACCTAAAATTAGTTTGTCTCATCTGCCATTTAGGTATTGTAAGAAGCACAAGAAAGTTGATATGAGGGCTGTAAAGGGTTGGGCAAGACAGATCTTAATGGGCCTAAATTACTTGCACAGTCATGATCCACCAATCATGCATAGAGATCTAAAGTGTGACAACATATTTATTAATGGAAACCAAGGTGAAGTGAAAATTGGAGATCTTGGGTTGGCAACGGTTATGGAGCAGCCTACTGCCCAAAGTGTGATTGGTACATTTTTTCGTTTCTCTTTTCTTATTGTCTAGGGACGTTGTAATGTGATTGTTCCTTGGCATGCAATATTGTTTTTGGTAAAAGGATAGGGTATATTAAAATTTTGAACACTGTGGGAAGTTCTTGTTTTAGTAGTTTTGAATTTTGATTCTATTACCATGTACACTTGTTGTTTTTTAGGCTAGGCATACTCCTAGTTTATATTTTTGTGTTGTCTTAATTTTTCTATTGATCCCTCATGTTTTGTGGTAACAATATTGACAGGAACCCCTGAATTTATGGCACCTGAGTTATATGACGAGAATTACAATGAATTGGCTGATATATATTCCTTTGGAATGTGCATGCTAGAAATGGTGACTTTTGAATATCCTTACAGTGAATGTAGAAACTCTGCTCAGATATATAAGAAGGTTTCAGCTGTAAGACCTGTTTACTTTAGCTTTAAATCATTTTCGTTATGGAAAAGGTTATTTAGATTCCTTATTCTTAAGCTTTTTTAGGGTATAAAGCCCGCTGGCCTCTCTAAGGTTAAAGATCAAGAGATGAAACTTTTTATTGAGAAGTGTTTAGTACCAGCTGTTCAGCGATTGTCAGCTAAGGAGCTTCTCATGGACCCCTTTCTCCAAGTGAATGGATCCACAAAGAGTCATCCTTTTCCACTTCCTGATATTGTTATGCCCAAAACTGGGGCTTTTGGAGATCGATGTCTAATGTCAGAAGCACCTGTTGGTGCCAGCAGGCCATCAGCCATTGATCTTGAAAATGATGATGAGCTGCACATTATCAGTTCATTTGATAATCCTGTTGATGGGGCCTCCCATCCATCCTGCATAGAGGTTCAAAGGACAAACAGAGGCAATATTTTCTCCTTGAAAGGCGAGGAAAGTGATGAAAATTCTATATCATTAATTCTTCGAATAACAGATCAGAATGGTAAAAGCAATCCAATAAGATGCATCTCACTTTTTTTCTTTCCAGTTTATTAGTTTATTACTTCCTATTTCATTCCTTACATGCAGGTCGTGTAAGAAATATTCACTTCTTGTTCTATCTTGAAAGTGATACTGCACTCTCAGTTTCAAGAGAAATGGTTGAGACACTGGAACTAGCAGATCAGAGAGTCATGTTCATAGCAGAGTTGATTGATATGTTATTATTGAACCTTATACCCAGTTGGAAGCCTTGTGTTCCCATTGATTATTTGGTTCCTTCAAAGAGAATACAAGCCACAAGAGGCTGTCAGAAGAACTCACTGCCAGTTAAATATGGAGAGACTTCAGGATCTTTCCGGCAATCTTGTGACACTTTAAATACTTCAAATGACAAAATGAGTGAGGAGAATAGTCTTTTTTGTGGATCTTTTCAACCAGCAAAGCAAGGATCAAATTCTTTGAAGCTAGATGGAAGAGTATATCATGCCAAATTGGGCCTTCGGAACACAAACATGGTAGAGGACCGAGGTTCTGGTAGGTCATATGTTTCAGCAACATCCATTGCTTCATTCAAATCTGCTGACTCTAGACCAATGGATTCTGATGGATATGCAACAAGAACGAGAAGTAGCATGAATGAATCCTTTTCCATGTCCTTAACGGACTTATCTATTGATGAGAGGAACAAGGGCATGAATCCAAGCAGTGTTCCTCCTTTGCCTAACCGAGATGAAGATGAGGAGTTAAGATTGGAGCTCAAAATGATTGATTTGCAGTATCAGGAAGCAATAAAAGAAATATCCAAGAGAAGACATGAATCTATTATGGAGGCAAAAAGGAGACATTCTCAGAAAAAGATGTTGTTAGTACATCCCTCCCCCCTTCTCTGATTTAATTTCATTTCTTTTTCTTGTAAATGTCTCTTTACCTTTTAAGTGTAGATATTGGTGTAGATATTATATTGTAGAAGCAGAAAGTATTTTCCCCTTTGAAAGTTGGGAGGTATTGAGCAAAAGGCAAATGTAATGGAATTTCTCTTATCCAGGAAAAAGACCGATAAAGTTTTGAGCTCTTCCATTTTTCTTTTTCATTTTAAAGGAGAGGACTAAGTGAATGGCAGATAAGGATGGAAAATTGTTCTGAGATTTTTCTATTGACGTAGGATATTTGATGCGGGATAGGTTAGTGATCTATTGGGCTTGAGAATTCAGGATTTATTTGAAGGAAGTTTAGGCTATAAATAGTATGTGTGAACACTAAAACGAAGGATAGGAATTTAGTTTAGAATAACCGGAAGAATAAAGAATCTAGGAATCACACCTAAGCATCCTTAGGAATGACTCCTAAGGTAGATTGCTTCATGCAATCAAGATTGCCTCACACAATTGAGAGCAAAACTCACTAGAAAAAATCTAAATATTATGAACTTAATATCAAAAAGAAATTACAAACATGTATATATATATATATATAAATAAATTACTAAAACTCCTAATAGAACTCTTATTTAGAAGTTCTAATCTAACTAGGATTCGACAAAAATTAAATAACTTAGAAAAAAAAAACTGCTAGTGAATGACTTAATTAAGCTCTTAGCTAAGGTTCTCATCATTGGCCATGTGCCAAACAAAAAGCATGGGCTTTAGAGCCAACTTTGGCTTGCCTTTTGTAAACCTTTGGGGGTTGCTACTAGCGTGCCCCATCATCTCTCCTTGACTTGAAGAAACTCAACCCTATCAAGTTAGAAGCATGGAATTCATCATAGAGAGTTGGATTTAATTGCTGAAATTCCTCTTCTATAATCCATGTGCAATCAAAAAGTGAATGTCCTTTCTATTTGACAAGAAACCTTGGACAACCACCTTCTTTAGTTCAAACTATGACCTGTACTTTTGTTTACAAAACTATTATAAGTTCAACTGCTGGGAGAATTAGGTCCCAAGTTTTAACATGATCCCCAACACGACAACGAAGGAGATCACCTAAGCTTCTATTGATAACCTCAGTTTATCCATCTATTTGTGGATGAAAAGAGGTTGAAAATTTCAGTTTTGTGCCAAACATTTTTCACAATGAGTGCTAAAATAACTCATAAACTTCACATCCCTATAAGAGATAATGGTTTTAGGTAACCCATGTAGGTGAACAGTTTCTTTGAAAAAAAGTTTAGCAATATGGGCAATATCATATGTCTTCAAACAAGGAACAAAATGGGTCATTTTTGAGTAATGATTAGCCACCACAAAAATTGAGTCATTTCCCTTCAGTGTTTTAGGTAACCCAAGAACAAAATCCATACTTAGGTCTTCCCAAGGCTTATGTGGAGTAGGTAGAGGAGTATATAAATTTGTATTCTTCCTTTTTCCCTTGTATATTTGACCAGTCCTACATCGAGCTACAACTCTACTTACATCTCTTTTTAAACTTGGTCAATATAATCGATCTTCTATCATAACAATTGTCTTATTTCTTCTAGTCTTGCTGCTCTACTTCAATGTAACTCTCAAATTACTTCATCGCTTAGGGATGCACTTGGAAGGCAAAAGTTCCTTTAAATAGATAACCATTATGCAAATTGATATTTAGGTAATTGGCATGCTCTCCAGCTTGGAGATCAACATATATGCTGAAATCCTTGCAAGATGAATATTCTTCCTTGTTGACTTCAAAATTAGCTACTTGAATAGCCATAGAAGTAAAACTAAAGCTACTTGGCTAAGAGCATCTACTACCTTGTTTTCTATTTCAACCTTGTGTTTGGGAACCAATGAATACTCTTGCAAAAAAAGAAACCCATTTTGCATGTCGATGATTCAGCTTCTTTTGAGAATTTATGTATTTTAGAGCCTCATGATCAAAGTACAAAACAAACTCCTTATGAATTAAAAAATAATGCAAATATCGAAGAGCTTGAATCACAACATAAAATTTCTTATCATTAGTTGAGTATTTTTGTTTTGCTATGTTTAGCGTTTCACTAAAATAAGCAACTAGATGTCCTTCTTGGCTAAGAACCCTTCTAATCTCTACATGAAATGTATCACAAGCAACTTTAAATACCATAGAAAAATTTGGAATGTGAAAAACAAGAGCTTTAGTCATCTCTTTCTTGATTTCTTCCAAGGCTTTAGATGCTTCCTCTGTCGAAACAAACTTTCCTTTTTACATGCAATTAGTAATAGGTGCCATTAGAGTGCTAAAATTTCTAATAAAGTGTCGATAGAATGATGCTAATCCATGGAAACTTCTAATTTCTTATGGAGAAGTCAGAGTTGGCCATTCTTTAATTGCCTTGATTTTATCTATATCAACTTCAATTCCTTTTGATGATACTACAAAACCTAGAAAAACAACACTAGATCTCTTAAAAGAACACTTCTTTAAATTGATGTAAAGTTTTTCTTGTTGAAGAACTTTCATGACTTGTTGTAGGTGATAGATATGTTCCTCCTTACTCTTGTTGAAAAGTAGAATGTCATCAAAATAGACAACTAGAAATCGACCATTATAGGTTGAAAGTACTTGGTTCATAAATCTCATAAAAGTGCTTAATGCATTGCCAAGTCCAAATGGCATGACTAACCATTCATAAAGTCCATCCTTGGTTTTAAAAGCAGTCTTCCATTCATCTCCAAGTCTGATTTGTGATTGGTGATGGCCACTTTTCAAATCAATTTTTGAAAATATAATAGAATCGGCCATAACATTTAACATATCTTTTATATGAGGAATGGAAAACCTGTACTTAATGGTAATTTTATTTATGACACAACTATCAACACACATATACCATGTATCATCTTTCTTTAGGGTAAGAAGTGCTGGAACAACACAAGGACTTAGACTTTCACGAATAAAACCTTTGGACAATAGGTCATCCACTTGCTTTTTGAGTTTTGCATGCTTTTTGAGATTCATTCTATATGCTCGCAAGTTTGGCAATTGAGATCTTGGTATAAAATCAATTGCATGTTGAATATTTTGCAAATGATGCAACTTATTAGGTAACTCTTTTGGTGTGACATTAGAAAATTCTGCTAACAACTTAGTCACCTCATTGGGTAAATTGAGTAGTAAATTTTGAGTTCACTTTTTCCACTTTTCTTTCAATAATAGCAAACACCAACCCAAATTTACAACTTTTTGCTTGAAATTGTCTCTTAGTTAGTATGTGTAGAGAGATTTGCATATGTTTCCATAAACTTGCTTAGGTTCTAGTAGTCTCTTCATTTTTTTTTTTTATATCAAAAGAGCTCATAGGGCGCAGTACAATTGTTTTGGTTTCAACAGAAAATGTGTAGGTGCTTTCCCTCCCATTATGATTCACATTCTTATCATAGAGCCAAGGTCATCCAAGAAGAATATGTGTGACTTTCATAAGGATAACATCACATAATATAGCATCATTATAAGCACCATAATTAAAAGAAACAAAGCATTGTTGAGTTACTGGAATTGTTATCTTATTAATCCAAGCTACCTTGTATGGTTGAGGGTGAGGTTTTGTATGGAGTTTAAGACACTCCACTGTTGATGTTGATACAACATTAATGCAACTTCCATTATTGATAATGAGTTTTTTTGCTTGATCACCACAATGAACCAAAGTTTGGAATACTGAGGCTTATCGCCAATTTTCTTCCTCAACCTTAGGTGTTGCCAAAATACACCTAACAACTGACCAAAAGGAAGTGTATTCCTCCTCATTATCTACAAGATCATTAACCATGTAGACTCTATAATCAAAGGAATTTTCTTTAGTTTCTTCATCATGATGCTCTTTCTCATCTTGTACTTCTTCCATACCAAGGTTATTTTTTCTTGGACATTGATAGCTTATAGGACCATCTTCACCACACTTAAAGCAAGTTGCACCCTTATTGCCCT